TCTCTGTCTCTCTCTCTCTCCCCCTCCTCCTCAGGCCTGTAGCAGCTCCTCCCCCCCCCTCCCCTGGCGGCCTCGGTTCAGATGGAGGACTCGGAGACTGAGCTGGCGGTGTCGGAGTCGGACGCTCTGGGCGCAGACTTCATCACGGTGGAGTTGGACACGCAGCCCATCGAGTACGTGGTGAAGTGGGCCGAGGTCGGCTCCAAGTTCACCATCTCCTGCGTGAAGAAGGACTCGGACGACCCGGCGGACCTGAGCGCCGAGCAGCTGAAGATCGAGACGGACGAGGCCTTCTTCGCCCCCTACGAGGAGGTGTACCCCTGCGAGGTGACGGAGCAGAGCGTGGAGATAAAGACAGACTCCGACTCCGACGAGGAGGACGCGGAGGAGGAGCGGGAGGTGCTGGTGGAGGCGGGGAGCAGCCGGCTGGACGGCGAGGCCGACTCGGACCAGGCCGACTTTGAGCCGGACGAGCGTCAGTACCGCTGCAGCTACTGCGGGAAGTGTTACAGCCACGCCTCCAGCCTGTATCGCCACCAGCAGACGCACACCGGCAAGAACGGCGGGGCGGCGCCGCCTGCCAAACGGGCACTGGAGCCCACGCATCAGGAGGCGCGCTACACCTGCCCCCACTGCGGGATGAGCTTCAAAGGCAGCAGGTGGGTCCCTGATCAGTAACGTTGTCTGTTGATTGATCGACTCGAACCTTGAGGGGCGGAGTCTGCAGGGCCTCTCTGATTGGTCAGACACTCACTTATCCGCACTGACTGTACGAGCTAACACCTCAACGGATCCACATCTGTTTTTAACTCGGTGGGAAGCAGTGACGTCACTGATACAGCGATCAATAATTGAGGAAGCTAACGTTATCGCTAGTAAATTACCATCTGAGTGTTTGTTGTTTTGTTTGTTTGTTGTCAGGATGTTGGGGAGCCACCTGCGGCTGCACGGGAAGCGGCGGATCCACCCCTGCAACATCTGCGGCAAGGAGTTCAACCACAGCTCCAGCCTGTCGCGCCACCGTCTCATCCACAAGAAAGGAAAAGGCCTCCCCAAGGACGTCGCCCTCGGCCCCAACATGGCCGCCCTGCGCCACTCGCTGAAGGCCGGCGGCAAGATCAAGAAGACCAAGAGGCAGCGGCAGCATGTGGCGTCCGCCATCATCCAGAGTCAGGGCGGCGATAAGTTCTACGCCTGCCCGCAGTGCGACATGAGCTTCAGGACGTCCACGCAGCTCTCCAAACACCAGGTGACCCACGTCAAAGAGCTGCTGGACAACTACACGCCCGGTAAGGAGAACCTGGGCGAGAGCTCGTCCGACCTCAAGATCCGCCTCAAGCTCTGCTCCCGTGACAAGCCCAACTTCTACACGCTGTGCAAGAAGAACCGCCGCCGCCGGGGGGTGCGGGCCGGGAAACAGGGCTCCGCCGTCTCCGAGGAAGAGGAGGGAGGAGGAGGAGCCGGTCGCCATGGCTGCAGCCAGTGCGGGAAGCAGTTTAGCCACGCCTCCAGCCTGGCGCGGCACCAGCAGATCCACAGGGCGGTGGACGGTGGCGGCGGGCGGGGGAAGCTGCAGCAGCACCAGAAGCAGCTTCACATGAAGACCGGACCCCCCGCCGCCAAGACCAAGACCTACACCTGCACCGCCTGCAACAAGACCTTCATGCACTCGTCGAGCTTCTCCCGCCACAAGAAGGCCCACCTGGAGGAGGAGCAGCGGGCCCACGCCGCCGCCGCAAAGCGCCGGAAGAGAGCAGTCTTAGACGAGACCGCTCCGCTGGAGTCGGACTCGGAGTGACATCACCCAGCTCCAGACTGGGGTTGGACCGGTTCTGGACCTGTTCTGGGTTGGTTCTGAACTGGTTTAAGTTCTGGACCAGTTGGAGTTTGTTGGTCCGGGTTTCAGGAACTGGATCTGGTGTAGATAGCAGCAGGACATCCATATATGGTCGTACAGAGGGGGGGACCTCCGCATATGGTCATATCCATATATGGTCATATCCATATATGGTCATATCCATATATGGTCATCACTGACCGTTAGCTAATTGCTCTTAAGGATGGGATTAGTTTAAAGTGTTACCCCACAGCCCCGCCCCCTGCCCCGCGCCTCCTCCACTCGTCTAAATGGACGCTTTTATTCGGCCCTCGCTACACTCCATTTTCCCATCAGCCACCTGGGCAGAGAGATGGGAGCTACGGTCTCTTCTGTCCGTCACAGGCCACGCCCACCTGACACCACATTTCGCATCGGCCCCAGGACCTGGCTTTCAGTGAGCATGCAGAGCATCATGGGAAACTGAGTCTCATAACAACAATGAAAGTTGATTTTATGGAAGTTTATTAACGACAAAACTACAAATCAAACAAAGCCCCCCCCGCTGCTCCAATCAGATGAAAGTGTTTCTGTCTCTAAATCTTATTGGTTGACTGTAAAAAATAATAATAATAATTTCTCTTTTCATTAAGTTTTAGTTTTAAATCAAACTCCCAAGTTTTTAAATAAACTAATAATAATTAAAATATATTTTTATTCTCTAGAAAACAAAAAAATCTCAAACTCATTAAAGTAAAAAACATTTAATTTAATATTTTCAATATTCAAATTTCAATTAACATAATGAAAAAATTGCATTTTGTCCGTCTAAAACTCAAAGATTGAAGTTTTTCTAAAGAAGAAAAGTAAATTACCTCAACAAAAGATTATTATTATTATTATTATTATTATTCGGCAAAACTTTATTTTACTTTATAAGTAAATCAATCAGTTCTTTTAAAAGAAGAAAACCTCCAGCATCACAATTATTTTAATGGATACCTTAGTGGGGTTTTTTTGGTCTCAGATTAAATTATGTTTTCTCTCTGTCTTTTGTACAGTTCAAGTTTTTCTTCAGTTTAATTTTAAATTTCACATTTTTCTCAGAATTCTGAAACTTTTGCTAAAAGTTTGGAAGTAAATCAAAACTAAGTTTGAACAAGTTTAAACAGATCTTTAATTATTGATTATTCTGGAAAGATACTCAGTTCACTGTGAGAATAAAAAGATCCTCAAAGAATGTTTGACTATTAATCTTCTGTTGAAATTTCTTTTAAAACTAAAACGTGATTAAAATCTGAGTTTTGTCGTTAGTGAACCTCCGTACGGTAACAGCGCGCCGACCTCTTTCCCCTCTGATGTCAGCGCCCTGTTACTTCCTGGTTTTGATCAGGGTGATTCTAATTGGCTGAAGTTGTTGTTGCAGCGTTGTGATTGGTCGGCTGTGGTTAATGGTGTTTTTTTTTTATGTGAAATCCAAGTGGACGAGCTGATTGGTCGGAACCGGCGTTCCTCCACATTAACGTTTGCATGAAGACTATAACCTGCAGCTAGTCGGCCATATTTGTAGTTTTTCAGCGGTGTGTGTGTGTGTGTGTGTGCGTATGAGGACCGATCTGCAGCGTCGGACTTTGGGATTTCTCGTTTTAGCAGCGAGTGGTGGCGCTGCGGCGGCGTTTAGAGGGAAACTGCACTACGTATTTATGAATTTGGAACAATGTTGTATTAATATATAAATATAAATATTTAAATGTCATTCACTATAAACACAACAGAGCCTGGCCTGGCTGCCCCCGTTACCGTAGCAACACCACCGCCACCTTCATCGTTTAGCATCATCAGCAGCAGCAGACAGGAAATGACTCCGGCAGACAACGTCTTGATTTTCAAAGTAAAAGCATCCAAATTGGTTTATCAAAAAGAATCCTGTGAAAATTTGGGGAATTTTTTGTGGATTTAAAAACTGAATCAAAAACAATTCATTGATATTAATAATAATTAATGAATATGTGATCGATCTAGCACAGATCGACTAACGGACATTTTGGACCAAACGGACCAACTTCAAAGGTTTTCCTCCGGACAGACGAACAGCCAAAATAAACCCCCCCCCACAAATCCCCCTTCACGTTTGGTTTCCTCACCGTCTCGCCGCATGATGGCGGCGGCGGCGGCAGCGCGCACTTTGAGTTTGTGAATAACATTTTACTGTGTGAATTGGATTTGATTTAATTTAATGGTGACCTATTTATAAATGTGTGTAGGCGGCGGACAGTCGCACTACGAACCTCCCGTAGAAAATAAAAACAAGCTCCTCCTCTTCATCCTCCTCCTCCTCCTCCTCCTCCTCCCGGTTTGTGTTTGCTCAGTTTGGGCCCTCCCAGCTGCCGTTCTTTCCGTTGTGTCGGTTTCCTCTTTGGTTCGTGGTTTCAGCGAAGCTTCACCTGCAGATAGAAGGTTGTTCGTCATTGTATCGTGTTTGCCGATAGAATAAAACCAGTTGACATGTTTTGTCTTTTGTAATAAACCTTTAAATCAAGTTTCTGTGTCTTCACTCTGCAGCTCGTACGGAGGCCCAGAGAGGACATTAAACACATTCTTCTTTATATCAATTAGCTGAGTGCTGCAATTCCTCAGTCTGACAACCACATGCTCCCAAAACACTGGCAAACTAGCTAGCAAGTCTACATCAAAGGTTAGCTGGTTAGTTAGCTTATTGGGTAGCTAGTTAACTAATTTACACTAACATACATACATTATTATTATTACTATTATTATTATAGTTATTATTACTATTATTATTATAGTTATTAATATTACAGTTATTATTACTATAGTTATCAATATTATAGTTATTATTAATAATATAATTATTATTATATTACACTGCATATAAATATATAAATAATATATAAACTTTTGCTATAAATTGAAGGTTTGAAATTAAATAATGTTTATCTGATTATGAAATAAACTTTATTTGTGTTGAATACATTTAACTATATAACATTTATACATTTTATTGAATAAACAGTCAACCTGTTGCCATATTTGTTTTATTTTTTATTTTTTACAGTGCACTGACCTCTGACCTCTGCTCAGGTGGAAGTTGGGTGGATGATGGGAATTATGGGATGTTCTGATCAATAATGATTTATGCACTGACTCACTTTAACAAAGGTCATTGAACAGTATCAATAACATCGATCAGCAGATATCTATATTTCATCAGTAGCTCCCTGGATGCTGTCTCACACACCGGCTGCAGGGGCAGAGTCCTGCACTGGGTCTCTGCAGCATGTAACAGCTATGAATAAGGATGGTCTTTTATTGTGAAAGCTCACACTTCCTGTCCTCTGTGAGTAAACAGACTGCAGGACGCAGACTCCGAACCAGGAGGACTCTGAACCAGGACGTGGACTCTGAACCAGGACGAGGACTCTGAACCAGGATGCGGACTCTGAACCAGGACGAGGACTCTGAACCAGGAGGACTCTGAACCATGAAGACTCTGAACCGGGAGGAATCTGAACCAGGACGCAGACTCTGAACCAGGACGTGGATTCTGAACCAGTTTGCTTTCAGGTCTGTGGTGGTTTCAGCTAATGAGAGCTATTGCAGCAACAAGTCGTAACAGTAACAATATAATTATTGTTACTGTTACTGCAGACCTTCATCTACAGCACTGGCCCAAATAACAATAATATCATTATTGTTCACGTTGTTCCGAATCAAATAAAGCGAACTGACCTCTGACCTGTATGCAGCACTGACCTCTATAAGTACTATTTTGGGACTCTGTCGGGAGATATTCAATGTTAAATGACTCGGATCCAATCAGGGACTAAGAAACCCTAATCGGGACATTCCTATTTATCAACATGTTTGGTTTTACTGATTATTCCTCTGCTGAAGCTAATGACTTCTACATCACCTGCAAAAAGTAGATACATACAGTCACCGCAGGGCCTGCTGTGTATGTGAGTGTGTGTTTCTTGCTGTTGTCTGTCCTGGTTCATGAGCTGGGCCAGGACAATAATTATTAAAGTTCTGACAAGAAGTCAAACTCTTCCCCACTAGTCCAGATATACAAGAAAACTAGGTCTCAACAAGTTTTCAGAGATGCTGAATTTGATCCTGTAGTAGTCTGACCTGTGAGCAGCTTTCTGTTCACAATAATTGATCCTGTGAATGCAGCTCAGACTGACTCTTGTTAACGAGGGCATGTTGAACTTCAGTCCAACCAGTCAGACTGCATACTTTCATGGCGAAGTGAGGACACACACACTCTGATGAACTGAATCCGTTTCCACGCAGACTGGCTGAGGACAGGAGGAGAAAGCTACATTCGGATGAAGTTCATGGCTTAAAGTTCAGTAAGTGGAGCTCTGATTGGTTGAAATGGTTTCTGTTTACATTGACGTCACTGCTTTCAAACAGTCGTGTGTAATTATGTTTTATTGAGGAAGGATTTCAAGATGTAGGACATGAGAACGCAGTACAAAGCTAACAGTGTCCAACTAACACGCAGAAAACAGAACAATAAACTCTTAACACACCATCCAGAGGTTAGATTTTTATAATCGCATCTCAAGGGGAGAACCGAATCTAAATGTTTAATCTGATCTGGGGTCTGATGTGGTCCACAACAGTCAGGACTTTTATTGATGTAGATGGGGAGGTAGCAGGGGGTCCAGCACTAGGACCCAGCAGGGATCAGACTGACCCCCATCTGTTCGTTGGTCATATTTTTTATATTTTTTTCGAATTTAACGGAAATTGAGTGATCGATTATACTTTTTCATTAATTCAACTGATCTGCTAGTGCTATTGTAGTTTTCTCCTCAGACTTTTCTTTTAAACGTTAGCTGAGCAGGAGAGATAACGTAAAAACAACTAAAATCAAAACTGAAGTTGTGCCAAAAAACCAAGCCCTTCTCTCTGCTCCAACTTAACCTTTGATATCTTGTCATCAGTTGTGGAACGCAGGAAAACCAGTTTTCAGGTCTATGTTTGCTGCCAGCTGCTGGTTTCAGGAGAGGAGGAGTAAAAGAGGAGCAGACAGAAGGAGGTGTAGAATAGTTAAACTGACTCTTCACTGCCCTCCAATGGTCAAAGTCAGATACTACAATATGCTTTATATTTCCATGAAGCAGAGCAGTAAAATCCTCCCCATCAGGCGGTCGCGCTGGGCCTCGCCCGCGGGGGTGCGTACAAGCAGTCGACCCTCTCATAATCTTTGATAATCCACCTCCCCCTTGGCCAGAGTACAGGGCTGGGACCAAATAAGAAACACATGTCTTCACATTTACGAAACGCACGGTTATGGACCGTGGTTATGCACATATCTTACCTGATGGTCCAGCACCGAACTTCCAGGCACCACTGCTGACAGTCCATATTAATTAAATAGTGAGAAGCAGCTACAAAGCAATCATACGCGAGGCGAAGGCAATCCAGTCGCTCCGTAGTCCAGTCCCAGACGCGGAGAGGCCCACGCGCCGAGCGTGGCGCGCGACGCTCCGCGGATGGTCCGCGCCAGGACCTCGGGAATCATGAATCTAGGACAAACGAATCCAGCATGTGAGCAACAGTGAGGAAGGAAAACCTACCTGGATTCGATTCACAAAACCATGTGTAACTGTACATTCTCCTATGAACTGGAAACTGGTTGGTGACACGTCTCCTGATACTGCATTTGAGATCGATTGTCCAGCCCTGTTTGAATACTGAGCATATACGTACTTTAGGCTCAAGTAAAAAGTTGTCTTTGTTTCAATGGAGAATCAAAGCCTTTGTGTGAGCGAGAGAAGGATCCGCGATGACAGTTAGGAGATTTCCCCTCAGTCTCACCTCTGAGCTTTGGTCCTTGTGGTCATTGTTCCCCACCCCACTTTTCTTTTAGAGGGAGGACCTCCCTCCTCTCCTGGTCCTCACACCTGATGTCATAGCCAGAGGCCCCACACCTTTCACCACCAGCACAGCATAACCGCTGGGAGAAGATTCACACGTTAATACCTTATTTATTCTCATCAGTCCACTAAGAATGTTGTCTC